CCGAGCCCACCGCCTCTAGCCTGGCCCCGCGGCCCGCGCACAGGGCGGGTCCTGGCGGCTTCTCCCACAGCGGCGCGTAGTCTGCGCGGCGGTTGCTGGGCGCCAGGGCCGCTCCGGGGCAGCGGGGATGCTAAAGGACTTGTAGGTAGGGTCCATTTTTCTCGACTCTCCCTTTCCAGGCGGTTCCCTTCCGGCGGCCCCAGGACCGCCGCTCCTCCTCCGTTCGCGGGAGCGCACGTCCCTCCTCCGCCCGGCGCCGCGGGCGGCCGCGGACCACCGCCTCTCTCCCCGACTCCTTCTTCGCTCCCGCGTCTGCCTCGCGCCGCTCTCCCTTATTCCCTCCCTGCCTCCTTTCTTTCTCTCGTCTTACAGGTGCTCGCAAGTCAGAAAGAAGAGGTCAATCCGGACTGACTGCAAAATTAATTTCATTGGGGGCAGCCTATTGTCCTAATACTGAATATCTGTAAATGACCCTTCACATGCTCCTGTGATTGGAGACGTGTTCCAGGATTGGTTGCTGATCCTGGAAAGCTCTCCTCCCCCCACCCCTCCACCCCCACACCCCTCACACGCGCCCGTGTCTGTTGACTTGATCACAGCGGACAGCACTTTAGGTCAATGCTTTTGAAGGGTTAGGCAGTTGTTGCACACGTACCGTGTGTCAGGCGCATCGCTTAGGAGGCGTTTTAAGAGCTCTGCAGGCCCACACCAGGTCCCTGACGCCCCTCCATGTGTGTCCTACAGTCTATGAAAGATCAGATGGGGTGATGGAGAGGGGCGATTGGCCCAGGTGGCGCTGAGGGAGGCCACACCCTACTCCCTGATTTTCCATATGGGTAAATAGAATTATTTGTGCAACACAAGTGCGGAAAATTAAGACATTACTATCACATCTAAAGAATTGATGCGTTAGACGTCTTAGTCACTATGTACCTGTGAAAAGCTATTCATTTTTATTACTTTCTGTGAGTAGCAGAGTTTATACAGCTGTTTTTGTCAGTTGACTCTCTCTTGTCATAAGCTCCTGTCCCTTACCAGACAAAAGGAAAGAGGCAGGTGCAGGGATAGTAATATGTAAGGTAACATTTTTATAGCACTTCTCTTTTTGTGCATAATTTTCATGCTCATCCTGCTTATACACTCTGTGAAATAGAGTTGGTTAACAAAATTCCATTTTACTGAAGAAGGAACTAAACACTGAGATTGAACAGGACCTGGAGCACAGTACAATATACATTAGTAAATATTTGTTGAAGGGATAAATGGATGAGATTCTCAAGGAGCCGTGCCTTATTCACCTTTGTATTCCCTAGACCCAGAGCTGAGTCTAGTAAGCCCACAGATGTGAGTTAGAGAAGTTGAGTGACTTGCTCAGGGACGGGCATACATCAAATATTTTTAAGGAATCTACTACTTTGACAAGCATTGTGAATATAATGGTAAGGGGGCCGGCCCAGTGGCATAGCGGTTAAGTGTGCGTGCTCTGCTTCAGCGGCCCCGGGGTTCACGGGTTCAGATCCTGGGCATGCACAGATGCACCGCTTATCAAGCCATGCTGTGGTGGCGTCCCATATAAAATAGAGGAAGATGAGTATGCATGTTAGCTCAGGGCTAATCTTCCTCTCTCTCTCTCTCACACACACACACACACACACACACAAAATGGTAAGGAAGACTGGTAAGATTCCTGTTCTTATGGAGCTTAAATTCTAGTGAATGAAGAGAGAAAATAAACAGGTAATAGATGAACAAGGAAATTTTGATAAGGGTAAGTGCAGCAAACATGTAAAACAGTGTAAAGTGAGAGAGACTAGGGGAGGTGTTACTCTAGATTGATTGGTTAGGGAAGGCTTCTCTGAGGAGCTGAACTTTGTGCTGGTCTCAGTGATATAAAAAAGCTAGCTGCGGAAATATTTGGGATCAAAGCATTGCAGGTAAAGGGAACTTCAATTGCAAAAGTGCCAAGGTAGGAAAGAGCTTGGCTCTTTCAAGGAACATCATGAAGACTGCTGCAGCTGGAATGTAGAGAGAGTGGTACAGGATAAGCATGGAGAGAGAGGGAGGGGCCCAGTCATGTAGGGCTTTGAATCAACCATGGGGATCGGGATCTACCCATGGTATACGTTTGGAATTTATGTAAAGTGTGATGAGAGACCAGTAGGGAGTGTTTTGGAAAGGAGTAATATAATCTAATTACATTGTAAAAAGGTTTGTTCCACCTGTGATGTGGTGAATGGGTCATAGGGGAAGGGGAGGAAGATTCGTAGCAGAAGACACTTGCAGTAATCCAGGAAGGAATGAGAATAGTTTGGGCTAAAGTGGTATAGAAGTGGATGGATGTGAGATATATTTGGAGGCAGAGCCTACAGACTTGGTGATGTAAATATAGAGGTGATAAAAAAAAAAAACTCCTGGTTTTTGTCTTGAGGTTGAGTGGATGGTTGTACCATTTACCAAATGGAAAAAAGACTAGAGAAGAAAAAGTATGGGGGGAGGTATCCTTATTTTGCTCACCTTAAGTTTGACATGCTTATTAGAAATCTAAATTAAGTTGTGAGTCTTGAGTTCTGTGTAAGGAACCAACGATAAAAGTTGAGAGTCTTCAGAATGTAGGAAAAACTACCTAGAGAAAGTGTGTTCGTAGAGAGCATTCCAGTGATTAGAGGAAAAGAAGCAAGCAAAGGAGATGGAGAAGGAGTAGCCCTTGAAGTAGGAAGAAAACCCGAGGAGTGTGGTGACTTAAAAGCCAAGACAACAAAGCATGGCCAATGGTGTTGAACCATGCTGATGAGTCAAGTAAAATGAAGAGATCTGACCACTGGATTTTGGCAACATGTAGTGATGTGCTTTGACAAGCACAAGAGAAAATGTGATGCAAAGAATTGAACGCAGCACTACAGACATCTCAAGATACTTTACTGTGAGGAGCTGAGAAATGGAGGTAACAGAGGAATATGTGAGATCAAAGTAGGATTCTGAAAGATGAGGATACAAAGTCTGATCCAGTAGAGAGAGAAAAAAATAATGATATAACAGAGAATGTGTGTATTATAGGAGTAAAGTCTTTGAGAAAACAAGAGGGGATAGGATCCAGGGCATCTGTAGAAGTGTTGGCTTAGAAATATGAACATAAAATTTACAGTAATAGGAAGAAAGGTAGTGAGTATAAGTAGAGATGCAGGTAGATGAGTAGATTCAGTGATTAGATGGTGAGAGAGTTTCTGCCTAATATTGATTCTCTTTATCTCAATGAAGTATAAGGTATGAGGCATGATCAGTAAGACAAGAGGAGGGATGTTTGCGTAGGCAGTTTAAGGGGCAAAGAGAAGGTATAAAATAATCAATTGGGAGGATAGAAGGCAGTCATACTTGTTTTAGTCTGTTTGGGATGCTGTAACAAAAAGACCCTAGGCTTATAAACAACAGAAATTTATTTCTCACAGTTCTGGAGGCTGGGAAGTCCAAGATCAAGGTACCAGTAGATTCAGTGTCTGGTGAGGGCCCAATTCCTGGCCCTTGGATGGCCAAAAGCGGCAAGGGAGCTCTCAGGGTCTCTTTTATAAGGACACTAATTCCATTCATGAGGGCTCTGCCCTCATGTGCTAATCACCTCCCAAAGGCCCCACCTCCTAATACCATCATGTTGGGGGTTAGGATTTCAACATAAGGATTTCAAGGAGACACAAACCTTCAGTCTATATCAATATTTCAGAAGCACAGTAGCATAGCCGGGCCAGATGGATTGGCCATTTGATATTTGTGGCCTTGTGAGTGGGTGGCTGAGATAGGGTAGAAAAAAAGATGATAGGAGCCAAGGAGATCAAGGAACTTAAAGACCAGAGTGTTGGGTGGGAAGACTGCCTGTGTATTAGTGGTTAAGTTTGTAGCTAAACTAGTTCTTGGACTCGATATCCTGACTTTCCAGCTCAGTGGGCTACTATTTTACTGAGAAATGATTCAGATCATTACTCTTTTGTGCCACCTACCCCTCTAGTTAACATAAAAAAAAATAATTGTGGCCTGATATTTTTTGGTCCGTATATCCAAATTCTAGACTTTCATGGGCTGGTGCTTCTATCTCTCATATCCCTTTAATATTTAATTGTTAAATTTTTTGGCTTGTTTTTCCTTGTGTATGTGTTTTTTTTAACCATTTCCATCAATATGTGTTTATTAAAGGACAAAAGCCTACCTCTTAAATGGTAAAGGGAAGATGAAGGATGAGATTTGGAAATCCTGTTGCCTATAGAGCTGGGATGACCGGTGGCAAGGAGACCTGATCTATATTCACTCTAATAACAATCATAATAATAGCATTTGGATAGCCCTTTACATTTTGTGCTATGCTTTTATTTTCTTATATTTCATTTGATTTTGTAACTACCTTTTTCAGATGAAGAAACTGAGGTTCAGAGAGGTTAAGGGTCTTGACCAAGGACATATACCTAGTAAGTGGCAGAATTATTAACCACAGTATTCTGACAATGAGTCTTATATTTTTCACTGTAGAAGTTTACCTCTTCACTTTTTACACTCCATTATATCCAAAGTGATATCAAAGAAAAATTCTGCTCGGTAGAAAGTAGTGGCTGGGTGGAGGCCTCTTACAATGCAAAAACTTTTTGTATATGTTTAAAATCCAACAGTTAATGGGATTAGATATTTATCTACCATGTGCCGTGTTAGGTAATTCAAAGAACCCAGAAATGATTGTGAAATCAGATTTAATCTAGTAGGGAAATAATGCGAGTCATCAAGAGGCATTTCTTGGACCCCCTCCCACATACCAGTTGTGCTTCCACAATGCTCTGAATTGACTAAATTGTATATGCAGAGAATGCAGTGCCAGTGAAATAGTGGACTCTTAGAGAATATTTGTCAAATAAAAGAATGAAAATAGTTAAACAAGCAATTATAGTAAGGTGGATGCTGTGATAAGGGGTACATGCTGTGATAAGAATGCATACTGAAGAAAGCTTCTGCAAGAAAGACTTCTTAAACTGATATACAGTTTGCTAGGCAAAAAGCAGGAGTGTGGCGTTAGAAGGCAACATACAGAATGTATAAAGTCTCAGAGATGTGAGGAATGGCAAGTTTGAAGAACTGAAATCTAGTATGACTGATGGTTAGAATGCCAAGTGAAGA